TCTCTCTCTCTCTCTCTCTCTCTCTCTCTCTCTCTCTCTCTCACAGACACACACACACACACACACACACACACACACACACACACACACACACAGAGCGAATCATTCAGTCAGTCACTCGATCAATCATTCAACCAATCAGCAGTCAATCCATCCACAAGTGCGTCGGTCAGTCGATGTATTTGACTATCAATCGATGTACAAGTGAATCGGTCACTCAATCTACTTGCATCTACATGTGAGTGCGTGTCATTACGGCTCAGCGGTTTCATGCAGGAGCAAAGTCGAGAATTCGGTTATCCGTACCCGTTTCGGACGCAGTGGAAAGCATCCATCGGGTCAAACGCTCGCTAAGGACAAAGTCGAGAATACCAGTCACTCCTTTTGTCCCTTTCACACTATCACTTCAGAAAGACATCCTCTCCTCCATTCTCTCGCTCTTGCCTCTTGCCTCTTGCCTCTTGTCCCTTGCCTCTTGCCTCTTGCCTCTTGCCCCTCCACTGTTCTTTCAGGGATACGATTCGAACGCCTAATATCAGATGCATAGCTGGCAACATCGCCCGTCGACCGGTACCCTGCTCATCTACTCCCTCATCTACTCCATCATCGTTCTTCCTCCTTCCTTCTACGACGATTATCGGAGTAGGTCCGCCATTGTCATGATTATCCCCTTTCGTTTCCTCCCTATGCAACGGCCTTCTTCCTTCTACAAAGATAGGCGGAGGAGATCGGCCATTGTACATTCCCTTGCCTTGCCTTTCAAAAAAACCCTCTGCAAGCGCTTTCGTTTCGGATCTGATCTGATTGATCCTCTTGTACACCTACTTCACATACTACTTAGTACTTCACAATCCCATTCTTCTCTGCTCTCAAGCAAACACTCCCCTCGTCGGTCTGTCTCAGTAGCGACCCGAACACTCCCAAACCGAGCGGCACAACCCGATGACCACTCGGCTTATTAGAACATGCCATGGTTCCGATCATCGTCAGGCTGCTCTGTTTGACGATAGATCCGGCGGACATTGCTGCAGTCTTATTTCACGAGCTGTGACCCAGACAAAGGAAGCAAACAAGTGCAGCCAGGTTCAAATATAAAGAGGAGAGCAATAGGAGAGGGAGAGAGTCACCGAAAGCAGGTGAGCGAGTAGATTGAGTGAGCGAGCAACAGAGCGAGTGAGCAAACGAGCAGAAGGGAGAGACAGAGACACAGAGAGAGAGAGAGAGACAGAGAGACAGAGAGACAGAGAGACAGAGAGAAAGGGGGGGGAGAGAGAGAGAGAGAGAGAGAGAGAGAGAGAGAGAGAGAGAGAGAGAGAGAGAGAG